TTTATTATTTCATATGACGAAGTTGCGTTCTTGTTGTTGGTAGCACCATCTCGTATTTTCCCTTTTTCCATTTGTACACTTGACTTTAAAAGTTGGAAGAATTATTAAACGTTCACGATCATCTTAGAAGAATTTCTACTTACACGTGTGCATCGGTATAAATTTCTTTTTTTTTTTTTATATTTATATTTATTTCTTTAGGATATAAGAGGAAGAAAGATAAAAGTAAGGTTATGTAGCATTAAGGTTTATCATTGATTTTGACGTTGTACATACACGTACTGTACTTAAACGTATCTTTATTGACATATGCAAAGATGTGTCTGTGTAATAGTCAGATTAAAAGTATTTTTTTGTTTTTTTAACTGAAAGTAAACTATGAACGATGTCATGCTAAGGTTTTTATGCATACTTATTACCAGGAGTGTTAAGATCCTGCTATTGTAAATAAAACTGTATAATGCATTTAACTTCGATCTGAAGGAAGTGTACTCGGTCTCGATCATCCGGAACGATTTACGTTTATTCCAAGCTGAGATATCAAAAGATTATTCAAACAAATCAACGATCAAAGAATTTTATCTCGTCTATAGGTTCTATATCAGATTCGTTTTAAACCATGCTACTTACTGATTTATCAATCTTACATATTACTAAACTGACGACTAGAAAATTGTATACTTTGATGAACACGTTTTAACTGACACAATGACTAAAATAGTCGAACGTTAGGGGTAAGCTTTCATGCGAAACGATACGAATACCAAGGATGGTGAAATAAAGTTATAATACCGTAACATATAGTACACTTTGGTTAAGTTTTAAAATTTAACGAGGCTTATCCCATTCACTGACAACTACAAGATATTTTCTTGGGTTTAGGAATATACGAGGTTTTATTTATCACAAACTAAAAGATAGCTCATAGATTTTTAGTTTTTTTTTTTTTTCATTAAATTATTACCACTGCTATTCAAAGATTATGTGTGGAACTAATTGGTTATTAATTTTCAAGAATGTCATTGTTTTACGATAAATAGTCGATTAATCTAAGACACGACATGTTTCATTTTATTTTTCTTTCTTTTTCGTCAATGAACGAGTTCAACTTGTCACGTAAAGATATAACAAGCACATTTACATATGTATATATAAGTATACCCGTGTATCTTTGTATCTACACAATAAACCATGTTTGACCAGTTATGCCTATCGAACATCGGTTGTTGTTCGTGAATAATATTTCTTGAAGAAAAATTTTTCAAAATTGTCACGCGATATCATCGAACTAAAGCAATACAGCTTTTGTCATGAAATAAAGATTTTTCAAATCTTTCTTGATAATATATATAGTTCAACGTATACAACTTGTCATGAAATAAAGATTTTCAAAATCTTTCTTGGTAATATATGATTCCAACGTATATAAATAACGTAAGATACATTACTATATACAGGGTGATTCTATAAATCTTGCTAACTATATAGTTCCAAAAGTATAATGGAGAAAAATTTGTATAATAAAAATTGTGAAAAATGGAATAATGGAAGTAATTATATGATGTTAGTTTTGTTTTTTGCTAGGTGGAGTAGTTTTTGAGATTTAATCGTTAATTTAGTTTTTTATATACATAATTATATATATATATATATATAGTTAAATATATAATTATATTTTTATATAAATATAATATATATAT